GTCTCTAGTGGAGTACATAGATCCATCTGGTCCTTCCAAAATAGACAGCTGATTTTTCCTCCTACGTTGATTGGTAACAGCATGAAAATATGTTGTGTTCCTATCACCCTCTTTGATTTTCCTATCCCTAGATCTCTGCCACATGGCAGTTTTCTTTTTCTTTCAAATCTCACTAAGCTCCTCCCTAATTTGTTTCATTCTGAGGATATCCTCAGCATTAGTTCTGTTTTTTTAGGGAAGTTATGTTTTGTTTAGAAAAGACATCCAGGCTTAATAATACATCCATCGCATTAGGCCAATCCTTTTCTATTCCCTGACGGCTGATGCGCACATTTTTGTTCCCTGGGTTGGCCACCCAGTGCGAACGATCGTTCGATTAAAAGCGAGGGAGCCGACGTCCGCACAATATTCGCGTCCAAACTGAAAAACACTGGAAAAGACAATTTTAGAGGAGTGGGCATTGCGGTAATTTGACGCATCTCTCTCCTCGGTGGCCAGCAGCTCCTTTCCTTGCATACATATACCCACGATTCGCTGCCAGAAAGAACCAATAACTGAGACTCCCTGCGCTCTCATCTGCTCTCCTCTGTCCTGCTCTGCCATCTCTGCGACTCTGCCGCATGCCAACTCCTCCCCCGGCCATTACCGCACCAAAAAACCTCACCCCGCGCCGCCATTTCCGCGACCATGCTATCGCGGTTCAATAATTCGCTCTGGATGCAGGAAGACGACGGCCATGAACAACAGGGCCTCGGCCACGAGCAGCCGCCGGCGATGGGGCAGGAGGCTGGGCACCACCACGACCAGCACCTCCTGGCTATGCCCACGGGGGGAGGCGGCGGGTTCCGCGCCCCGTCGATGCTTGATGAGGACTGGTACTTCGGCGCGGGCGCGGTTGGCGACGGCGCCGCGAACGGGTCCATGGCCCTGGTGCCGGCCGCCATGGAAGCATCGGGGTCCAGCTCCGGCTTCGGAGCCGGTCCACAGATGTTCCCGCTCCTCAACCTGGGCGGTACCGGACCGTTCGACGTCTCTGGGTTCGACCTCGGCGGCTCCGGCACTGGAGGCGGCGACTTCACGGCGTTCCTTGGCGCCGGCAACGCGTCGAATACATCGCCGGTTTCCCTGCTGCCGCATCGGAACACAGGGTTTCTCGGCTCCTTCGGCGGCTTCGGCACCGCACCGGCACAGATGACAGAGTTTGGTGGCCTCGCCGGTTTCGACTTGTTCGACACCGGTGCCGGGGGCGGAGGCGGGGGCGGGAGCGGCTCCTCCTCAGAGGGGCCGGCTGCTCCAGTGTCCTTGACCGCTCCTTTCTCCGGTCGCGGCAAGGCGGCGGTGCTGCGGCCGCTGGAGATCTTCCCGCCGGTGGGCGCGCAGCCAACGCTCTTCCAGAAGCGCGCACTACGGCGTAATGCCGGCGAAGAGGACGACGACAGGAAGCGTAAGGCGGCGGTGGCGGCGGAAGGAAGCGCCCTGTCCGCGGGCTGTGACACCATGCTCGACGACGCCGACGAGGACATGGGCAGCATTGACGCGTCCGGGCTGAATTACGACTCGGAGGACGGGAGGGACGTGGAGGAGAGCGGCAGGAAGGACGGCAAGGAGTCGAACGCCAACAGCACGGTGACCGGCGGCGCTGCGGCTGAAGGGAAGGGAAAGAAGAAGGGAATGCCAGCCAAGAACCTCATGGCGGAGCGTCGTCGTCGGAAGAAGCTCAATGACCGGCTCTACATGCTCAGGTCCGTCGTGCCGAAGATCAGCAAGGTGAGAAATTATTTGTGTGCGCCTCAGCGCCTTATCAGAGTTTCGTAAAGTACACAAGGAAATACTAGTTGTTGCTTGTGTTTAGGTTGAGTAGGTTTAAGCAAAAGTTTATGGCCATATGCATCGTTCTGATGCAGAGGCGGGGGCCTGACCCCCTTTTCGAAAAAAAAGGTTTAGGGACTCTTTGATTCGTAGGATTTCCCAAATGCAGGAATAGGAAAAACGTGGGATTGGAATGGCATGTCATCTTGAATTCTACATGATTGTATGAGTGTTTGATTGTGCATAAGAAAAACGTAGGATTCTTTCAAAGAGGTTTGAGTGGATGGAAAATTTCCTATGAAATCTAGTGCAAATAAATCCTATGGAAAAATTCCTACGGTTTACAATCCTACGAATCAAACAACCCACGTAGGAAAAAATCCTAAGGATTAGAATCCTTCAAAATTCCTTTGAGAATCCTTTGAATCAAAGAAGCCCTTAAGCAATTTTGCTACATCACATAATCTTGACGAATTTTGTGCATTTTGGTTGTCTACAGGACCAGATCTTCAATTTCATTCCAGCAAATGTTATCTTAGATGTTAAATGTTCTCCCTATTTGGCGTGGCGATAATTGTAATATTTTTAGGATGATTATCATGGAGTATCTGATTGCCTGAGGAATTAGATTAGAGTAACTTTAGTTTTTTACTGCAGATAAATTATTTTCCATCTTATTGCCAGTCTTTGTCTCTGCTGCCTCATGTTCAGTTTTCACTCAATTATCGTAGAGTTGTAGAGAGAAAGATCATAAAAATAGTTACATAATAAAAATCGGTCAGTTATTGCGCATTTTAGGTGCAGGTTTCTGTGTAGAGTTGTGGATGCACGCCAGTTTAAAGAATGTGTCATAGAAATTTAAGCCTTGTTGGCCACACACTCCTTGGTCTGTCTAGCTTTGTGATTTACTCCAGTATCCGCAGTCCCAGCTTTTCTGTTTAGCTCTACTGATGATTATCTCTATTGGCATGGCCATAATCTTGCCTTACTTAGAAAGGCTACTGAATTTATATTCCTAGGACTAAACAATCTCTGCATACAATTCACCAACTATCATTTCTCTCTATGCGTAGCTAGTCTAGCGAACTGATGTATGTGGTTGCAATGGGCAGATGGACAGGGCTTCGATTCTCGGTGACGCGATCGAGTACCTCAAGGAGCTCCTGCACAAGATCAGCAATCTTCAGAATGAGCTTGAATCATCCCCTTCCATGCCCTCGCTGCCTCCGACGCCCACAAGCTTCCACCCTGTGACTCCGACGTTGCCCGCGCTGCCGTCCCGCGTGAAGGAGGAGCTCTGCCCGAGTGCGCTGCCAAGCCCTACCGGCCAGCAGCCAACCGTGAGTATCTATCTCTTGAGACCTCTGAATTTCAGTCAGGAAATTCAGACCTTGACGTGACATGGTATCCTTTTTTGTCCCCCTTGGCTTGCAAAAGGTTGAGGTTAGGCTCCGGGAAGGCCGGGCCGTCAACATCCACATGCTGTGCCCTCGCAGGCCCGGGCTTGTGCTCTCTGCCATGAAGGCGATCGAAGCCCTTGGTCTTGATGTGCAGCAGGCCGTTATCAGCTGCTTCAATGGCTTTGCCTTGGACGTCTTCAAGGCTGAGGTATGGCATTGTAGTCCATGTCTGTCGTCACCTTTCCAGAAACAATGAAGAGAAAACTCGACTTATCTTGCTCACTCGGTTCCTTCTTCTTCTTGGCATCAGCAATGCAAGGATGGCCCTGGTCTTCAGCCCGAGGAGATCAAGGCGGTTCTCTTGCAATCCGCGGGGTTCCATCTTCCCGCGATGTAGGAGGGAGGGAGGGAGGGGCAGCCAGCCAAGTGCAGAGGATAGTGCTGTATCTAAGGAATTTCTTTTTACAACAAGTAGCGGTGTTTTCCGGGAGAAGCTACCTCACCTTGGGTAGTCTGAAACCCCTTCCCAGAACCGATTTATCTGCGAGTCTTTTAGAGTCCAAAATAATGTCGGCAATCTGTTATTAGTACGAGTACCTAACATTGCTTATGCCTGATGTTACCTTATTTTTCAGTACATCGTGTGTAAGTTTGAACGAGACTTGTGTGGATCATTGAAGCGTAACACATTGTTAGATGATGTGTCTTTTCGGTTCCTTGCGTGATGTTTTTCTGGCGTCTTTGTGGTTGCTGTGGCTTGGATTTGGTTTGCAAAATCCAAACGGTGTTGTGCAGGTCAGTTATTGGAAGCACAGAGAGAGAGAGAGCAAGCAGGCAAAAGTGGTCCTTGTGCTGGACCCAACGACAACGGTCTTCACTGCAGCCTGGCACTAGCAGGGCTGGATTTGGCTGGTTTCCAATCAAAGCTTGCTACTCCGGTAAGAAAAGAAAGAGAGGACCAACAGCCGGTATCTCGCTGTAAACAGTACGTACTACGGAGATCCGCGCCAATTAATTTCCGAGGCATGGCAAAGACTGCGAATACAGGACGTGAAATGCACTGTTGATGTCACTGCTGCAGAGCTGCTCTGCTGGACCACGGAAGCCGATCTACTGCCTCACCTTGACCTTCTGTGAAACTCAAACCGAAAATAAACTCGTTACTCGACGATTCCAGTGTCACTCGTTACTTGTTCCTTGTCACGCTGGCCTGGCTCCAACGAAGATGACAAAGTGCCGATCCAACACTAATCAAGACTAGAACCCTCCAAAGGAGGGCCCCCCTATATATTACTTGAGCTCACACTAAAAATTATGGACATAAAAGTTAGCTATACAATCTGCTCTCTTCATGTTCTAAAACGCCAAAAAGCCCCCCATGCCCGTCTGATGCGGCAGGAGCAGATATTGAGCACCCGTTAGCAGCCTCGCATTTTCTCCGGATCCGTAGCACAAAACAGTAGAAGGGAAACAAGATAGCGTTAGACACAGCCCCATACGTAGCAAAACTCTTTCAGCAACCCTCTATCTAGATGAAACAAGAATACAAGGGGAAAACATCTCTCTGTTTACGACCACAACTGGCTACAAGCAAACATGCACCTGGAACAGGAAGAAAATTGCTGACTATACACAACATGTCGTACAGAACAGAGAGAGCTACATATTGAGCTACAAATCTATCGGCCCAGTGATGGTTGAGACGAGCCAAAAGGAGAATCAATTTTGACTCTATTCTATTTGGAGAAACCTAGTAGAGCTCCTACAAAAAATGTCGGATACGTCAAAACTTCAGTACATTCCTTTGAAAACGGTGCTTGTTCGGCAGATGCTTGCTCCATGCTCCTCGTAATCTTCCTTTGTGTGGCAGCACTGAATGACAACAGAAAAAATAATCACTTAATTCCATGTATGACTGAATTCATAGCCCAATTACAAATGGCAATGTCTGGAGTGGCGTAATAGTAACTTGGCCTTCCATCGACATACAACAGTTAATATAGCAGAAATATATGCACTAATATTCACTTCTGCGTGTGAAATGAAGTGTCAAGTGGCAGGTACCTCGAAGAATTCATGGCTGGATGCAGCTACAGAACCCCCAAACCAAACTGCATAGCTCTGTATAGGATGGGTGACTACGTTGACCTCAACAGGCTGGCATCAAATAATAGACAAACGAAACATACAGAATCAATCACATATAGACTATTGATTACAACAGGCTGACATTCAAACATGAACATATAGATGGCAATTCAACTAGTTACGGCATGAGCTCAGTCAAGCATTGTTGTACTTACTTTCACCTCCACGCGATGACGCGCATTAGTTTCGGCAACACGTTCGTCTACTATCTTCTTTATATTATTTTGGAGTCTCTTGTGGAAGTCTTTAAACATGGTAGTTCCACCAGATAATACTATGTTCTGCAAATAGTGGAATTTCATAGTGTCACATCAACATGTCACTTTCTATTCTTACATGTGTTTGCAGAGCTCAAAGAAAGCACCTTATACAAAGCTCTCCTTGTGTCAATTGGCGCAGATTGAACACAGCTGTCAATCAGTTCAGGTAAAGGAGTGGAGAAGTCAGGAGAATACATCTCAGGATGGAAGAAGATCTGCATTTGTGTTATTAAAAAGTTACACTGGTTCCAACTACTACTTGTGTCAAGTGCAAGAGCAAGGACACTTGTAAACTGTTGCCTCTTTATTCTGATAAAAATGCGTAACAACCTACAGAATTAAGTTCAGCTAAAAACAAACATAAAATTATAGGGATTTCCTTTAGAGCTTCTCGATATATTTCATAACCCGCATAGACTAATGATAAACCATTGCCCGAGAAAAGTCCCGAGCTACTTATTATTTACGTATTTATGAATAAAGAAAATCATGATCCAAATTCCCATATAATGGTCAACCTGTCTGTCAGTCAGATGATACTTCTATAAGTATGTAATAAGGCATTGCAACCTCAAGTCTAAACGTGCAAAGGCGTCCATTGATTTGATGACTGGTTATAAGAGCTTAGCAGTTCAACATAGTTTCATACCTGTGAACCATCAGAATTACTAATTTAATCTGTTGGGACCCCGTATTTTCATTATTACTATAAATCTTGAAGAATGAAATGATTTCTTCAATCGGTCATATAAGACTGTTTTAGATGCCTACACCTGCCACCTGGACAGGAGTGTAGACAACATAGAAAAGTACAAGGTGGCAAAGAAAGCCGCAAAGTGAGCTGTGAGTAAAGTAAGGGGTCAGGCGTATGAGGACCTCTACTAGCACTTAGACATGAAGAAAGGCGAAAGGGACATCTATAAGATGGTCAAGATCCGAGAAAGGAAGATGAGGGATGTGGGATGTCAACCAAGTCAAATGCATCAAGGACAGAGCAGATCAACTCCTGGTGAAGGACGAGGAGATTAAACACAGATGGCGGGAGTACTTCGACAAGCTGTTCAATGGAGAGAATGGGAGCTATATTATTGAGCTCGACGACTACTTTGATGATACCAGCAGGCGCTTTGTGCGACGAATCCAAGAGTCTGAGGTCAGGGAGGCTTTAAAAAGGATGAAAGGAGGCAAGGCGATGGACCCTGATTGTATCCCCATTGAGGTGTGGAGAGGCCTCAGAGACATAGCGATAGTATGGCTAACTAAGCTTTTCAACCTCATTTTTTGGGCAAACAAGATGCCAGAAGAATCGAGGCTGAGTGTTGGCCGACTAAAAGGCGACATGTTCAACAGTTAGGTGTAGCGGAGATGCGCATGTAGAGATGGATGTGTGGCCACACAAGGATCGGGTCTGGTATGATGATATATGTGAGAGTTGGGGTAGCACCGATTGAAGAGAAGCTTGTCCAACGTCGGCTGAGATGGTTCGGACATATACAGCGCAGTGCATAGGGGACGGTTAAAGTGTGCTGATAATGTCAAGAGAGGTTGGGGTAGATCAAACTTGACATCAGAGGAGTCCGTAAAGAGAGAGCTGAAGGACTGGAATATCACCAAAGAACTAGCCATGGATAGGGGCGTGTGGAAGTTAGCTATCCACGTGCCAGAACCATGAGCTGGTTTCAAGATCTTATGGGTCAACTCTAGCCTACCGCAACTTGTTTGGGACTAAAGGCTTAGTTGTTGTTTGTTGTTGATTAAGGGTAAAGTAAGAACAGAATGACTTAAATTGCATTGACAACGTAAACTGACAAGCATTCTGAGAAAAAATGGCAAGGCTAAAACAACATCTATTTTGAAACAGAGGGAGAATAATGAATAGGCCCACTGCATGAAAAATTCCCACGAAATTGAATGGTAGAATACGGTGTACGGACAAACCTCTGGTCCAAGAAAACGCTCATATCCAATGTCAACTGTGTATGGAACCCCAGTCTTCGGTTTGATTGCAGACCATTGTTTGATATATTTACTAGGCTTGCTGTCATGCTTCTTGAACTCCTGAAATTATACAATTCAACCGCCTATCATACTTGTGAACAGATAAATCCATAAAGAAAAAGGAATATGAATAAATGAGTTGGTATTGCAAAAGGTGAAGTCCAAAAGGTAGGTATTAGTCGCTATTACAACAACACAAGCAAACATATGCAGCATGTAGACCAGTTCCATATAACAAAATAACAGTGATTTCTCAGCATTGCACAGAATAGGTTTTATATATTTGACTTTAGTGGAGAAACTTCAACTCTCAAATATTCCACTGAATGATGTGCTTGTGTAGATCATTGGAAAATACAAGGACAAGAAAATATAATATCAAGACATTGGTTCCAAGCAGCACAGTACCTTGACAATGTCTGAAGGAGTATAGCAATACGTTTCTTTCACCCTACGAGCTATATCCAAAGCATCATCAGGTGGAAGAAGCTCACCCCTTTCCTGCATAACGCACGATGATACTAAATCACCAACAGAATTTCATATTATAATACTACTACACGCCATAAGCATAAAAGCAGCCATGTACGTGCAGAAATCTATCCCCTCTGATCACCAATGAATGTTGTTTTGGACATAGACGCAGATTTTGATCATCAATTTATACAAAAATATGTTGCTTGAGATAAAAATAATTATGCATTACAAAAATGTATTCTCACAATGAATCTAGTAATGCCAATTTCATGTTGTCAATGTAGGTAATATTTTCTATTGTAATGGTCAAACTTAACAATGTTTGACTGGTCCAAATCCTAAAACAAACTACATTTGTGATCAGAGTACCATGTTTCACTAGCTTCTACAGAATGGCCACAACCAAATATTCATGGCAAATGATGTCGCACTAGTTCTGCAGTAAAATGGAGTTTCTTGCCCAGATGACAACATTCCAGTTTTTCATTTTAAATTACATATTTTCATTCAATCTAAAGTTGCAGCTGAGGCTAAGAGGCCACCCAAACATTATGGCAGCTGTTATGGACATTGATCCACAATGAGATAATTTGGGTATAGTAAAGGTCTGAAGACCAATGAGAGGGTCCTCTACTGTCCAGAAGCAGGGCTCATCCCTGACTTGGAAGAGAAGCTCCGAGGCTTATTGGAACTTTTGTTCATTGATTTGTTGTCTAAAAACAGGTAAATGCTAGTCATTTATATAAAACAACTAACTTGATCCACAAATTGGATCACAACTTAATTTAAAGTACAAATAGCATCCAACATGGGCATTTCAACTCGTTCTAGTTTTATGCAAGTACAAGTCTATTATTGTTGCTGGTTCCGCATAATTCCGCTGCACATACGACTCAAAACCAATAACAGCAACACTTGTGAATGCAATGGTGCAGGTTTTGTTTTCTAGATTTGTGTGATCTAGATAAAAAATTGCCATATTTCATAAGAGAACATGTTCACAAAATCAACTTCTTGTGGATGATATATGGTCTGTGGGTATAATATGGGGGAGACTGGAGCCTTAGCCCTTAGGTATCCTTACAAAAGGAATGCGAACTCTTCCAAGTTGATTAATCAAGCAACCATACTGAGCAGTGCAAAACTAATGTCAGGATACCAAGCAATAACGCACAACAGATCTAGGGTTCACATATTAACATGATCACTTACAAGGAGGCTTCAGAATAGATATCCATGAAAGTAGAAACTATTTGACTGAAGCATTGTTTTGGCTTTGTTGACCGAAATGCAGTGTTATCCGATTATTACTATCATTGAACTATCCAGATAAATATTCTAACATGATAAATATTTGCCGAAGTACCTAACAAATACATGATGGTCTCTTCTTACTGCCAACACATTTCCTTTTTCCTGGATAATTCCATACCACCCAAACTTCAGGAAAATCCAAAAATTGCTATTTAATTGTTCTGGTTTAGTCGGTACTGCACAAACTTGCTTCAATTAATGTATTTGCAATATGCAAGTACTGGATACGGAACCTATTCATGGACAGCACAAGGACGTCGACACCCCAACATAACCGCAGGAAAATGTGAGAAGAAAATTAAATACCTGTAAGAGCTGCATAACAAACTGAGTTACATCACTTCCGGAAAGAGGAAAAGACTTTATGCTACTCCCAATTACATAGCCGTTCACAACTGGCACAATATGTGGAGCTCCATCCCCAATGTCAACTACTACACCTGTCATATCAGACTGACAAAATATATTGGTCAAACTCACGAGAAGAGTTGTATCCTGCCAGAATACATGGCTTTAGATGAGTCTACTTCATCAATGATGATTACTCCTATGGTAGTACTCCCTCCGTCCCAAAATTCTTGTCTTAAATTTGTCTAGATACGGATGTATCTAATACTAAAACGTGACTTGATACATCCGTATTTAGACAAATCTAAGACAAGAATTTTGGGACGGAGGGAGTACTATTTATGTCTAGAACAAAATATCTTTACAGAGCTTCACAACCACAATTCTAGATAAACATAAGTTTTAGTTAGCAAGTTAATTGGCGCTCATTGCAGAATTGGGGAGTGAGAAATAAGCAGTCATCACATAATTATCACGAAATGGTTTCTTCATATCATGAGGTTGTGTTACGCTCAAAATTCTCCAGGATCCATGCTTATGAGTACGGAATAGTAAAACATATCTCCAAATTGGAATGGAAACTCCAGGGGCTGGCAAGCAACAAGTACGATATGAATGGGTAATATATCCAAAGATGGACCAAAATTTTGTCGAAACATGCAAGGCAACAATTCCAAAGAACAATCTGTAAAATGTAAAAGGGGAGTTTATCTTAATGTGAGTATGAGATCAATATGAGAATTTTGGTTATCTGTTAAAACATTCACAAGGTGATGTGTTCCAGTGAAAGAGATGAAGTTCACGGGATGATGACCATCTTGATACTTGATCAAACAAAAGCATGAAAGGAGGTGAATTCAAGACCTACCACAGAATCTTCTGAATCCTCTTCAGAAAGACTTTTCAGATATGCAAATCCAGCAGAAAGGCTGAGCACAGATTGCACAGAAATATATAGACCAGGGACATTAAAGGTCTCAAACATAATTTCTCCCATACATTCACGACTTTCCGGCGTACTGACAGGACTATCTGTAAGTAGGAAGTAGTGTTCCTCAGGATTGCACCGTAGATAATTGAAAATGGATTGCTGCCAAAATCTCTCCATTGTATCCCAGTCATTCACCTGGGGAGCAGGGAAAAAGATATGACATAGTGGCATGGTGCACCCGCGAAGGACAATATTACAAACAGAAAATGTATATGCATACCTGACCATGACGAATTGGGCTTCTTAAACTGTACAGGCCACTAGATTTGAAATGTGACAGAGCCTCATCCCCGATAAAAAAATCAAGATCAGCCATGACACCCGCATTATACTGTGCTAGCCAATTTGCACTACTGCACTGCTCTGATTGGTCCAAGAAAGATTCATTCACAGCTACTACAGTAGGGATGGTGAAAGACGGCTCGGAGTTACCAGCAAACCCAAGTTTGCTATACCTAAACATAAGAGCATACAGATTATGTAAGGACACAGTGTGATGAGCTTAATAGAGCAAATTTTGCATGTGACATGCATATGGAAAATTTCAAGCGGCTTTGAAGAAACCAAAACAATCTGACTTCAAGATAAAACGCTTGTGCGCGGGAACAATTATTTCCTGCCTTCTATCGCAGTCCGTTAACGATTGTCATTTTTATGTTTCACGGAGCACACATAGTGCATCAGTTAAGACATGTTATAGTACTTCGTAATAGTCTACAGTGTAACAGCAACAATTTGAGCTAAAGGACTAGAACAACATTACTAACTATAATCCTAAAAAAGTAGAAGCAGTCCCTATATTTTCCGTTCGTAGCTCCAACCATTAAACAGACAGATATTGCCTCACCGCTGGCAGCGTGGATTTAAAGACTTAACCAATAATGAATGGAGCAACACCTAGTTCAACCAATGATGAAATAAAGATAGCCATAGAAAGTCCATAAACCCAGTTTCAATTCTTCCTACCTTAAGTTCACTGTGGTATTTTTTTTCAAACACGCATAGAAATTCGTGTCATTTTAGGTTCATGTTCACCATACTCTAGAACGCTCGAGCTACCAATGTGAATGTTTGCTCGCAATTAGGGAGCGAGCCTCGCGCATGACACGCCGTTGGTGGTGATTCATGTCCCATTTTGGCTAACGAAATGCATTATTCCCACGGTAGTCGGTAATCCGATTCGACCTGCCCCAATTCGCCTCTAGCGCGGTCAGCGGAAACACACGGGCACGCACTCAGGGACCCGCGCAAACGAAATGAAAAATAACCTAGCTACTGCTGCAAGCGCAGGCGCGAATCACACCAGCGGTACAGCCGCAGGATCGGACGGAGAGATTCGGGGCTGTACCCGGTGCCGTTGTCGAATACGACGGCGGGGCGCTCGGAGGGGTCCATGGCGGGCGGCGTCGGCGGCTCCGTCGATTCCCCGCCGGCTCATATCTCGTCCGCAGCCGCCCGGAGAAGCATGGGTGGACGAGGGCAGCCGCGATCGCTCGGCCGAATCGGCGGGGAGGAAGACGGGGACGCGGCTGCGGCTGCGGCTGCCAGTGCGCACGCAGTCGGTGGGGGATCGATCCGCGCAGGGTGGGTGGGGGGTTTGGGACGCGATTGGGGACGAGAAAGAAGGCTCGGGAGATTGGGGGGAGGAGGGGCGTGCCAGTCGTGGCGATTGGGGGGTTGGTTGATTTGGTTGACGAGGGAAGCGGGAAGGAAGGAAGGAAGGGAGCACTTGCAGGGGAGCCTCGCCTCGGTTGCTGTGGCATGGTCGGAAATGGAGGCGCACTAGCACTAGTAGGTTGTCCGTGGTTCAGTTGGTCCGCACTTGCTCCGGTCGTGGATCGAACCAAACCACAGCATTACAGCATCTACAATCACCGTAAATTTGGAGACAAAGGGAGTAATTTAATAAAAAAACATCAACAGGCACAATAAAAGCGCGCCCGAAGCTTCTACTCTCTGTATGGGCGGATGATCGGTGGTGAAAATGTGACCTCCCCGACCCCTCAAACCGATCTTATATGTCCATACTATTCGTCATCTCTCAAATCCAGCTTGTATCTGAGGCGAAAACTAAGGAGGTCAGAGCACGCCTCGACGCGTCTCCCAAGTAGGATCTGGTAGATCTGACCTACGCCAAATCACATCAAATTATTCCTAACCTAGCCTAACATGCCTTCTTTCTCTTCTCTCTGCCCCTCTTTAATTAAAAAGAAAAAAATATAAGAGTAATCAACTGTGAACCAAAAAAATGCATTGCCCGTGTTGTCCGTCTCAACCCCACAGCGCCACCATCACCGACACAAAATCCCCCCCTGCCAGTGTTTCTTTTCTTTGACCTGATGACAAAGATTCTGCAATCTTGTCGAGTTGCACTGTCCACCCACTCACTCTTTTGCAGAAAACAATTTCTTCAAATTTCCGCACATGTGGGCAAACACTTTACCTCGGCGTAGTGATAAAGGAATACCCAATTATTTGGGATAACCTACAAAGTAGCACTTTATTTCAACAAATTCGATGGTGCTCTTTTTTCAATGTAAAGACAAAAGTCTCTAAAGCAACACATTAAGAAGTATACTGACGAAATAATCAATGTTATCTTTGATCTCACCATATCATACGTAGCTTTATTACATCTACTCAAAAACTTTCTACTCATAGTAATGTTCTGGAAAGTGTAACCTATACAATTTTTTTGATAGCTCACTAAACATTTGCTAGATTTGTAACTCAAAATTCTTTCTGCAATCCAATTGTAGAAACATAATTTTTGTTACAATCAGTTCTACTTCATTCTGGAAAACCTTTCGAAATATTTTGAAAAATTCAGATTTATGTCTCAGTAAATATCTATTTGAGTCAATGTTGAAGATAGATAAATCCACTGCTTGCAACAACACTTATTGAACTATACACATCAAAATGCATGTTTCAATTATTTTGTTGCTCGTTCTTTATGGTCTGTGAACAATATTTAGTTTACTTCACTGTTTGGACGAAGTTGCACGTTCTACTCTAGGTAGACTTCGTGCCACACACGCCACTACCATAGTCTGCCCCTACAGGTTACACCTATGATAATTAAGGGTTACCGCGTGGACGCAGGCTCTCTAAGGGTTCTTCCTGAATCCCTTGTCAATTTCAAAAGATGGAGTAAAGGCTTTTACTGTCACCTTGAATTACCTTCACATTCTACCCTTTACAACAATGGTGATATACTTCATGGCCATATGGTGGTAATGCTGAGTGGGCCCCTTCACAACATTCACAAAGTTATTAAACTAAGTATTCAACAAAGGATCTCATATCCAACATAACAGTTTAGATCCTATACATACCGTTCATCCATATCCCCAAGAACTAGGGATCTACTCACACATGGGGACAACAATCGTCATAGTATCGATGGTGGTGAACATGAATGAATCACAAATGTAACATGCACAAAACGACCCACTAGGGTTCTTGATGTTATAATGAGATGGATGTGGATGATGGTGATGGTCACAGTGGAGATTCTGTTGTATCCCCCGTGGTGAATATGGCAACCTCCTTAATACGTCTCCATCGTATATACTTTTCCAAACACTTTTGCTCTTGTCTTGGACTCTAATTTGCATGGTTTGAATGAAACTAACCCGCACTGACGTTGTTTTCAGCAGAACTATGGTACGTTCATTTTGCGTCATGCTTTCCTACTATTATTTATTATTGTTTGGGTCATTATTTCACTTTATGATGCTATTCTTATGCCTTTTCTCTCTTATTTTGCAAGTTTCACATGAAGAGGGAGATTGCCGGCATCTGGAATTCTGGATTGGATAAGGCTACAATAGATATAGCTATTCCGCCCACTCCAAATGACCTAAAAATTTACAGAGAATTATTTTGGAATATATAAAAAAATATTGGTGGAAGAAATACAAGGAGGGGGCCAACCAGGGAGCTGCAAGCTCAAGGGGCGCGCCCTACCCCCTCGATGCGCCTACTAAGCTTGTGGCCCCCCTAGTAGGCCTCCGGTGCCCATCTTCTGCTATATGAAGTCATTTGTCCTATAAAAAATAAGGAGAGGACTTTCGGGACGAAGCGCCGCCGTCTCGAGGTAGAACCTAGGAAGGTTCACTTTCGCTCTCCAGTGGAGTGATTCCGCCGGGGAAACTTCCCTTTGGGAGGGGGAAATCAGATCCATCGACATCACCAACGGTCATCTTGTAAGTGCATCTAGTGCCACCCCTAGTTGGTTTTGGAGTATTGACGACAAACCTAATTGAGGGACTAATGTGTTTGTGAGAATTGCAGGATAACACAGGTAGAAGTCCCTCATTGATTCGGTTTTCCTACCAGAGATGACCCCTAAAAATGTATGAAGACATTGAAGTCAAAGGTGGTATATGAAGATATTCACATTGAAGACTATGGCAAGAGAAGACACCACATGAAGCCTATGGAGCTCGAAGACTTAGATCTTTCGTAGTTCTCTTTCTTCTGTGTTGAGTCATAGGAACCACCGTACTGTTAAGTGGGGTCCAAGAGAACCAGTCAGAATGACTGAAGTGATGCTTAAACAAAACCTATGTCTTCGAGTGAAGACTTTGAGAGCGAATCTTGTCCAGAGTCGGGCAAGTTAGCTTTGCTTGAAGCCCAAGTAAAGTTGCCATGTGAGTTTGAAATCTGACCGTTGGAACACGTGTCAGTTCCTTAGTGACCCAGGGTCATTTCGGACAAATCAGGTCGGGTTGCCAAGTGGCTATAAATAGCCCACCCCCTACAACCATAAACGGTTGGCTGCTCAGATTCAGAATACGGCTTTTGTTGTTTGAGAGCAACCCACCTCGAAGCCTTTGAGAGAGAATTCCTTGCGAGGATAAAGCCCTAACCACCCAGAGCCAAAGAGAATTAGGCATCACTTAAGTCTTCTTGTCTGTGTGATCTGAAGACTTATTACACTTGAGGACTGTGCATCCTCTAGCCGGTTAGGCGTCGCGTTCTGAGCATCCAAGAGACATTGTGGATTGCCGGTGAACGAAGTCTGTGAAGGTTTGGGAGTCTACCTTGAAGACTTACCAGAGTGATTGGGCGAGGTCTGTGTGACCTTAGCTCAAGGGGAATACGGTGAGGACTGGGTATCCTGAGTTGCGTGTTTAGGACTGGGTGTCTGGGACTGTGTGTCCTAAGGTTTAAATACCTAGCCGCCCTAACCAGACGTACAGTTGTCACAGCAACTGGAACTGGTCCAACAAATCATTGTCTTCAGCGAGTCACTGGTTTCATCTTCCCTTCCCTTTACTTACTGTTACTCCTTGTGAAGTCATTGTATGTTCGCACTATCTTTTGTCTTCACTGAGTGACTGCGTGTTCTGTGTGGCTTCACAATATCTTCCTACCTGATCCTTACTACATTGCTGCTATTAGTCATTGTGCTTTCACTCTATTGAATACTTGACTATGGCTTGCCTAGTGTAGTCTACCTTCCGCTGCAGGGTAATAGGTTTATTTCTATTGTTTGTCTTCATAACTTCCATGTTTTGAAGACTTTCATAAAAATCGCCTATTCACCCCCCTCTAGTCGATATAACGCACTTTCAATTGGTATCAGAGCAAGGTGCTCCCTTGTTCTGTGTGATTCGGTTTAACCACCTGGAATTTTAGCTATGTCGACTGCAGGGATAATTAAAGTCTCCGCTGTGTGCCCCGTCTTCGATGGAACTGAATATCCCTACTGGAAGAATAAGATGCGCATGCATCTTGAAGCCATTGACGTCGACCTATGGTATGTCGTCAAGAACGGCGTTCCCAAGGCCGGAGAAGGTGTCACTGCTGCTGATGTCAAGAAGTTCGTTCAACTGGGCTCTACTGCCAAGAATATCATCTGTGGTCATCTGACCAAAGGACAGTATGGCCGTGTGAGTGCTTTGGAAACATCTAAGCTAGTCTGGGACTGGCTCTCCAAGGTCAATGAAGGCGTCTCAACCCAGAGAGATCAAAGAATCAGTGTCCTTCGCAACCTCTTCAACCGCTTCAAGCGAAATGACAATGAGAATGTCCAGCTCACATTTGACCGACTCACTGACATCACCAATGAGCTTGAAGCCCTCAGCGCTACTGAGATCACCAAACATGAAGTCGTCAAGACACTACTGAGATCACTTGATAGTTCGTTTGACACCCTAGCCCTGATGATTCAAGAACGTCCTGATTTCAAGACACTCGATCCGTCTGACATACTTGAGAGGCTCAACACACATGAGTTTCAGCTTTCTGAGAAAAGAGATATCTAAGGTGCAAACTATGGGCGAACTCGTGCCTTGAAGGCAAAAGCTGTCTCCTCATCTGAAGAAGAATCTGACAGCAGTTCGGATGATCCTGAAGACATTGGAAGGGAACTTGCTATGCTTGTGAAGAAGTTCCAGAAATTCACCAAGAAGAAAAGTTTCAGAA